GCATTCATAGAAATCCAACGAGCGAAATCATGATCACAGATAATTTTTCATAGATCCAAGATCCACTATTCGTACGGTTGTAGGATTATTTATTTTCCCCTTTAATCTGCTCATTCCTTTGCCTTTTCAGATATTGGGTAATCTCAGAGACGCCCTCGAACGCGTCGAAGTCCACGTCGCACATCTGATGACAGGTAAAAACTCTTTGATAAAAGTTGATAATTTGTTTCTGGAGGTGTTTTTTTTCAGTTGTGCGGCACTGATCGTGGATCGCCCAAACCGGCTAAATGCTCGACGGCTGGGGATCCACTCCAACCGTATCACGGAAAGGACCGCAGGTACTGAACAGCTTTCTCTACCTGCTTTTCAATGTTTCATCTTGATGTTTCAGATCCAAAAGGGCGACTGTGGTCCAAGATGTGCGATGGGAGCTTCTGGACGACGGAATGGAGCGGCCACCGCAGATGAGTGTTCAGTCCGTGTCTGTCTGTGTAATGTGTTTGTCCATGTCTCTGCATGCCACGTCCTTTGTCTGTGTTTGTCCACGTCAGTCCGTGTCCTTCCCTTTGTGCGTGCCCGTCCGCCCCCGTCTGAACATGTCCGTCCGTGTCCTGTTCTGTCCGCGTCTGTCTGTCCGTACCCACCTGTGTCTACTGTCCGTTCACGTCCCCCTGTGTTCATCTGCCCAATCGTCTACCTGTCTACCTGTCCTGCACTTGTCTGTTTCTGTCTGTCAAGCCGTCTGTCTGCGGTCTGTCCATGTCTGTTCTTGTCTGTCTGTCAGTGCCCGTCTATCTATATGCCTGCAAGGCTGCTGACGTGTGTCTGCACTTCCATTCTTTCTGTCTGTCTTCGTTAACATGTTAGCATTGCTGTCCGTAAACACCCTCGTTAGGGATTGCTGCTTGGGGAGTCTTTTCCTACTAGCATAGGGGAGGGGGTGGGAAGTAAATTTTTGTTCCAGTTTTTTCGACAATGTGTTCTGGAAATTTGACTTACTGGCGTAAGAATGCATTGTTCTTCTCTCTTGGTCTAACTTCCTCTTCATCATTTTCGATTGCTCCTCTTCATCCGCATTTTCGTATGTTCACCCTGGATTCCTAGCTCGGATCCTCTGACGGATTCTGTGTTTGATTGTGATTAAGGAAAAGGAGAGGCATAAGTGTTGCCTCCTTCCTTCTTACAATCTAAGGCAGGACCGGAAAAAGAGGATGCGAATTGTGAATCAAGGGATTTCAGCTCCATTTTAACGTGGGGCTGTTTCTCATCAATTAAGCTCTATAGACTTCTCTAGAACTGCTTTAGTTGTCTGCCCTGTCTTTTCTCATTCAGGTTACTTCTCACTATTGATCGCTGTATTTGATCAATATTTCTCTTCCCTTGAGAGTTTTCTTAATTTCTACTCCCGTGTTTTGCCTGAGTTACCTCTCACGGAATCTGTTTTAGACCGTGTATGAGGGGAATGAAGAGGCGTGAAATGTCATTTTCCTCCCCTCTCGCAATCGGATGCAGAGTCCACAAAAGAGGAACACAGACAAAACGTATGGGCAAGAACGTCATTTGGTGGATAAATGAAATTGGGATGAGAAATAGATGGATAGGGTGGCGATCTGTCTACCACCACAACTTATTCATTTTTTGCCTTGTTTTTATGGTTACATGCTACACTTTTTTCAAGTATTCAAGGTATTCTTTAGCCTTTGTGCTGTCATTTTCGATATAGTTTCACTCATCTTTCTTTCCCTGTTTGTTCTCTGTTCTTTCTTTCCTCATACTCTGTTCTTTGTTCTCTTTCCCCCTTCTCTTAATTTTCTTGATTCCTTTTTTGGTCCACTTTGTCTGGTAAATCAACTCCTAGGGCAAGCCTAGAGCAGCGATCCCTATTTGTGGTTGTTGTATGGACAGAAATGATAACATTGTTGGAGTCAGGCAACGGAAAAGAATGGATGGGTGGGCTGGTCAGGAGGGGTGCAGGCAGGGTAGGTGGATGGGCACAGTCAGGACGGATGAGAGCAGGTGATGGAGTCAGACGCAGTCAGAATGTAAGGCAGGCGGAGGCAGACGCATGCAGTGCAGGAGGTGGGTGGTGGTGTTGGGCAGATGGCATAGGAGGGGTGTGAACGGGCAGGACAACGCGGGAGGGTAGGACAGACAGCAACGGAGAGGAGGGGAACACGGATGGATAAGTAAGAGAGGGCGGGCGGGTGCGAGGGAGAGAGGAGGGAGAGATGCGAGAGCGAGAGAGAGAGGGAGGGAGATGGGGAGAAGAAAGCAGGCGGGCACGCCAGGATGAAACGGTTTCTCACTTGTTCAGGCCCGCGTGTCATCACTACTAGTGACCTCCCCCTTCCCCTGTCCGTCCACGTCCCCTCCCCTCCTCTCCACCTCTGCCTGCACCCACCCTCTCTGTCTGTTCCACCTACCCACACCCACCCTCGTCGTACCTGTCCTCCTCGCTCCCCTCACCACATCCCCGCACATGTCCACGTCTTCCGCCTTCCTACCTATCTGCGCCTGCACACACCCACCCCTGCCCTTCTGCACCCGTCTGTCTATCCCCATAAGTCTGCTGTTCCCCTGCTAGCCGTCCATCCTCCCCTCCCTCGTCTGTCTCCACTGGTGTTGGCTCTGCTGTCCGTAAAGCTACCTTATTGAAACGACCGCTTAAAGGAGGAAAGGACCGCTTAGAGGAAGTTTCTTTGATGGTCATACTTTTGGTGGAAGAGCGAAGGATTATGACTCCGAGTCATAATCATCCGCCATTCTACCGAAGGTATGTCCATTAAAGGAACTCGACTGACGGACTCGGACGACGATTATATTCCGCGGAGAACAGAAGGAACGGAGAATGAAAGAGAAAAAGATAAGAGGAAAAGAAAGATAGAAAGGAAGAAAGAAAAAGAAAAGTAAGCCAAGAAAACACAAGATCACCTCGCAAGAATGGCCAGTTATGGGTAAAACTTTAAACTCGGAAAGGACTCAAACCTGTAGCTGTATTAGGTACGAGTTGGGTCCCGTCTGAACTTGAAACATTGCCCATTACTCCCCATTTTTTGAGTAGATTTCCCAATGCAAGACAACAACTCTGACAAAAAACCACTGAAACTAAAAACAACTAGAGAGAAAACTCATGAGAGAAGTGAAACGGACACAGAAGGAACAGTTCCCTTACACCCTACCTTCCCTCGCCTCCCTCCAAACCTTCTCCAATATTGGTCGACAGAGAAAAGAACAAAGGAAAACCGGAGGAATCCAAACGAGGAAATGATCAGAAAAGGCAAAGAAAGAAGAGTGAAAACATAAGACAAGCAGATATTGAGCCAATGTGGTGGAGGAACATGAATAAAAAATGTCAGAGATGACTCAAAGGAAACAAAAGGTATGCAGAAAGAAAAGAAAAAAGAAGAAGAGGAGCCGAGAAAACAAAAAGATGGTTATACAAGAATGGCGAGTTATGTGCAGATCTCCCAGCTCAGACAAGACTCGTACACGTGCTTGCGCAAGTACCGGTACGAGTACGGGTACGTCTGTCTTTGAATTCCTGAACATAACCCACTATTATTGTTCAAAAATCACAAAAGGTAAAAATATTCCTGATCCGAATGATGAAGACTCATGAGAAAAGAGAAATGGAGAGAAGTAACATAATACCCTTACACCGTTCCTTCCCCCGTTCCCCATCACCCTTCTCCAATATTGTTCGACAGAGAAAGGAATCCAGATAACCCGGTGAATTCAGACCGTGAAATAAGACAAAGCAAAGAAAAGAGTCAGCGAGATGAGATGAGCAGACATTGAACCAAGTGGGTAGTGGAATCCAGAAACGAAGAGAATTCCTCTGATTTCTCTTCATCCACTGTGCTACTTCTCAGCCTTTTTCGGAAATTTCTATCAGCTCCGTGTTCTAAGCTCTTGTTTTATGTTCTCGATTCGACTATGAGCTCGAAGGTAACTTATAGTTGAACAATGTACATCAAGACTATAAATTACCCTCTGACCCATAGTCGAACCGAGACCATGAAGAGCATCAGAAATTCGAAAACACAGAAACCTATGAAAATGATAGTAAAAGAAAGAAGGAGGACAAGGATGGAACACTATGAACATGTTTCCAAAATGAGAACTAAATCATGGATCAGAAAGATAATGAAGAGATACAAGATATCACAGAAATTAGAAATGGGAAAGAAAAGTTTGAACAAAAATCGTTACTAATTCGGTTATATGAGTCAACTGTGAATCCTAAATGATCATAATGTGAAGGGGAGCCCGACGTTTGAATTTCCCCAAGCGGTCACCTTAACTCCTCGTCCACGCTGAGCCTTAGGGTGGATATAAGACCACTGTACCATTCCCATTGGTTGATTACAGATAGCACACCAACCTATGGGTAGGGCACAGTGGAACAACTCCTCCCATCCGCCCAGCGTGAACACTAGTGTTATGGACAGCAATGCTCAGAACACCACTAATGAAGACAAACAGAAGGACGGAGGTGTGGATGCACTGGGGTAGTCAAGCAGACATAGAGGTAGACAAGGCGGACACAGACAGACAGGAATGGCTGTGCACAGAACGCAGACAGGCTGGTAGACAGACAGACGTGGACACTAGCAGACAGATGGACAGAGGCAAGCAGTCGGACAAATACGTAAGGGAGGACGCGGACAGGCAGGACACAGACGGCAGGCACAGACACAAGTGGACAGACGGGGACGTGGACGGACGCATGCATACAAAGAGAAGGACAAGGACTGACGAAGACAAACACCTACAGGGACGTCGCATGCAAAGACAAAGACAAATACATAACACAGACAGACAAGGACAGAACACTTACCTTCGGTGGCGCTCTTATCCGTCCTTCATAAGCTCCTCCTCGCACGTCCTGGACCACAGTCGCCCATGTGGATCTGAAACAGTCAAAATGAAACGTTGAAAAGCAAAAGAGGGAGACTTATCAGAACCTGTGGTCCTTTTCGCGAAAAGGGCTCGTGTGGATCGCCAGGTGCCGACCATTTGGGCGATCCACGAAGAGTGTCGCACAACTGAAAAAAACTTAAAAGCTATCCTGAAGTCATATATGAACACGAATCCTCGCAATAATTCCTATAAAATTCTTGTTTTGATATCAGAAATAAGGTAAAAAGAGGAATAGGTAAATCCTAATCGGAATACAAATAGAATCGATGCGAGGGTGGCATCGAAGAGCGACTGTTGCTGGCTCGGTGGTGACTTTCCCGCCGTTTATTGATATTTAATAAACCGGGGATACAGAAAACGACCACCATGGTTCGGTGGCTGTCAGATGGGTGGTTTTCCCGCCTTTTATCGATAAATAACCACCCATTGCACGGCTCTCCTCGGGCTCCTGCACAATGAATAGGAGAGATTTATCATGCACAATAATACAATTACAGACACTATTGCTCACAGAGGTGACTTGAGACGTTGTCCATCAAGCTTGACTTCGACCACAGCTCAAAATGCCCAAAAAATACATCCACTGACATTCAGCATCTACCTGACATGCATACGTAGACATGCAATAAAACGGCTGGTAGGATTGAACAACAGCTTTTTATGGGCTCTATACGAACTCCCTACCTAGGAACGTATTTCTTGACCGTTTCCCTGGCAGGGGAGGAAAAACACTTCTCCTGAATACCCTTTTCAGTAACATTCACCGAGTAGGATCATAGCCACATAGTCATCTTCAAAATCGATTACGAATTTCGAGGTGGCTGGAGGTGACATACAGCACGGAGTCTCAAAACATAACTGAGCCTCACTTGTCATCTGTTCGTTTTCCACTCTGAAAAGGATCCCGCGAGGGTGAGTAACTTTAGGGACATCATTGGCTGCTTTTATAGTCCGCCGGCCGGCCGGCCGGCACGCGCGCCGGCGGACTATGAAAGCAGCCATTCTTGGGAGCAAGCAGGCGTATACAAATGCGAGTGATTGGCCATCACATTTCTTTTACTGAGCAGTAGAGAACTAACAAATCAGTAACAGGTATGGTCGGTAAAGTCGGTATGGGTACACTACGAGAGCCATCACAAAATCATCAACCACCAAATCGGAATTGATCCTCAAGTGCTGATTCAATGGACAAGAATGTAAAGTTGACGAGTAAGTAATAGCGACCGTGATTACAATAACCGATTTTACCATCGGATTACGTTAGACTCGCTTAAAAACGCCCTTTTCAGAGAGTTCCTGGATCCTACCTTTGGCGCATGTTTTACCTATGTTGGTGGACATTCCGCGGCAAACATCACGAATGAACCTGCAGGACTACTCCCTTTAGCCGCAGAAATCATTATGGATCAATGATTTCGTAGGTCTCCGTTTCGAAGTGTTCGTCAACATACCCGAATATTTACCGTTAATGGAAGCAGCTGGTAATCGCCTCACTGTACGCACCATCGAAGAACAGCCGTTTCCAGACTTACTGGGACATTCCGCTCCCACTGGATTTGTTAGCAGTTTCGGCATAAAATTGGTACCAAAAAAGAAAAAGCCATAAACCACGGAGTGATTGGTAAAAGATGATATTTAAGAAGACAACAACGCGGCTACCAGCCCCATGCGGAGACTGCATTCACGGAGGCAAAGACGAAGATTACATTTACGTCACCAAACAGTAAGACCGAGTAAGACGGAATATTGTTTACTTGTATGCTTGATTACTTATGTATTCGTGCACTGCAAGACCAGAAAACAAAGTAACAATTTAGGTTCGAGGAGAGATGGAGTAAAATGAGAAAATGAAAATTCAATAATCAACATGTCGCCGGGGCGGATTGGTGTCGATTGACGCCACTACCACGCGGGCGGTCTAGTGGTCATGTGCCGAATCGACGACCCTTCCAGATCAACTCAACTTTGGGGCTCAGTCTAGTGGGAACCAGACCTGTATGTGAGGATGAAAGTACCCAATCCTTGAGTGGTCTGTACCCACAAATCATTCCTTATACCAAATACTCGGGGTTGAGCTCGGAACGCTACTGCGATTCCGCATGGAAGTCAAATGTGAGCGAGTCCTCCCCAGAACGGGGTCCATAAATTCTGAAAACTGCTGCGTACTTCATTACCCACTCGGTCAGAACCATCAAAAAAGTCTTTAAATTGAGAACATTTTCTTACCTTCACAGTAAAAACAGTGACTTCTAAATGCATCTACTCTTTATTACCTTGAATTACGAGAAAAGCTTCCAGGGCCAAGAAGAGGAAGTAGAACTGGCTAAGGCATCCAGCCAGATCGTCTCCTTTAAAATGTTGTAGTAGCCAGAAAAGTGAAATGTCCCAATAAACCATCAAGAAAAATCGACGGATTGCACCCACGGATGAATCGCTTTCCATCAGAAACGTCTTTTTATGTTGATAATGCAGGAGAGTGCCTGAAGCGAGAAATGCAATACGCCGTACGATATCCGGCGACAACTGTTTCCAAGTGTCGGCAACAGTGCAGGTGTTCATAGACTTTTTCAGTCAGTGCCTCCTTTTCAGGTTCCTTATAACAGTTCTTTTTTTCAAAATAATATTTACAGCTAGGAAGTCTATTCGGTGTCCTATTCAGCTTCTCGTTAGCCAGCCGTTCCCGGTGGCTGTCTAAGGGAATGGCACCGCATCACTGCTTATCGTATGAAAAGTCCAACTATTTGGAAAATAGTTCAACAATAAGCATACACAGAGGATCGATGCCATCCAAGGCCCCAATTTCGGAACCGTTCACGTTAGTTTGACTACCGTTGTGGGAAGAACACAACAAAGTTGTCGAATTGCCATAAGAAAGAGTAATGATTGCATTTTTCTGACACTCGGCAATCCTGAAAAATGGTCAACCATGTCAGAACGACCCCTCAAGTTTTCTCCTAAATGCGGTGGTCTTTCCCTTTATACCCGAATAATCTTTGGGAAAGAAAGGCATCGGTATGCATATGCGCACGACAATCGTAACACTACTTTCTTCTGCAGTCTCCCGGCATTGAAGGCCAAGAATGACCATTCTACCACCAAGAATACCAAAATCGACAAAAATTGTCCCTTTGTTCGAAAATCAGTACCAGTTCCCGATACTCTCGGCAAATCTAAACGCTACAATTGAAAGAAGTTAACTTGTAACTCCAAATAGGCTTCTGATCGGATTANTGCATATGCGCACGACAATCGTAACACTACTTTCTTCTGCAGTCTCCCGGCATTGAAGGCCAAGAATGACCATTCTACCACCAAGAATACCAAGACCGACAAAAATGGTCCCTTTGTTCGAAAATCAGTACCAGTTCCCGATATTCCAGGCAAATCTAAACGCTACAATTGAAAGAAGTTAACTTGTAACTCCAAATGGGCTTCTGTTCGGATTACTCTTTGATCCTTTTGCAAAGAACTCGAATCAAAAAATACCGATTTATGGCTTCACCTGGAAAATGGTGTCAGCTGCTCAAAAAAGAATACGACAACGCTGCTTCTCCACGCACGTAGGATTCTTCTTTTAGCAGCACTAGGTATTCAGAAACCAGGTGAGCCTCCCAGTTATTCGCTATCCGAGACAAAATGACTATACACTAAGTAAAATGACCTGCACAGTGTTAACCATCTTCGCTGTATTGGTTGTGCAGCTTCTTAGGGCATTTTAGGAAGCTATCCGACCTTGAGGGTTCCAATTTTTTTTGACCGAATCGTTTATTGCATATTAGCCCTTGCATACTGCCACAGAACACGGGCGGGAATCCTTTGCCCCCTTCCATGGGACTTACCGGCCTTATCTTTGAATACTTTAAACACTTCTCATAAGTATTGTATTGCTTACTATGTACTATACTGCCACTTGCTTCTACAGGGCTATGAGCGGTGCATATAACTGTAGGTAAAGTGGCCTCTACAATGTTACTCTATGGTTGGAAGATCATTGGGAACTTTTAAGTTAACCATCTATGTTCAGAGGACCAATTCCATCCTACTGCTTTGATCGGAGTGGTCCACACTGTCCCAGAACTTGGGTGGACATCTTGCGTGCTGCTTCTTGGGACGTCCACGACTTATCAAGAAACACTCAGGAGACTTTTTTTTTGTTGCGACACACCGTTTCTCCTGTCATATTCCATGAATACACTACACACCATTTATCTAGGATTGAACGGTAGCTTTTTCTGGTTTTGACCACAGAATTCCCGGCTTTTCCAGAGAAAAGGCGATCTCCACTCTGTTCAGAATCGTTGCCTTTCGTAGTGCCAATTGCTGCTGATTATCCCTACAAAAGTTTAAGAAACGAATAGAAATTATGCTAGTCTAAGAGAGGATTTGAATAGTTAAACCACCGTTGAATGGCAGAACTTCAAGTGGACAATCCCCACCTAGTAGGTAAGGCATTTCGAGTTTCGCCATTTCGGAAATGTACAATCTATCCTTTCACATTCACATTCACATTCATTCACAAACTTCATTCTGACATTCACAAACTACGAGTTTTAGTTGAAGCACAAATTAGGAGAACTTACACAAACGCTACAGAAAGCTCATTTTTGGATTCAGATAATTTGAAGGGGAGCTTGTGACTGAAAAATCAATGGTCAAATGATATATCGATAGTAAATGTGAGTGAGCTATAGTGAGATATGTGCAAATATGAGTTAGTTAGGTATGTGCCGGACATAATATTCCAATAAGATGACATCACGTCACAGAAACCTCCCATTTACTATTACTGTTCCTTCGATAGGTTAATACTGACTAACTCAGAAATGTACGTGTGACGGGAGATATGACTAATATGATGGACTGCCGCGATCTGCCTCCTTTGCCAGGGACGAATACGAAGAAACTTGACGGAACCACATTCGACGGCTTCTGACATCCATCTTTTCCAAGTTATGACAGTTTATGACACCCGTGGTTACTTCTTATTCTAATCTGTCCTTTCCAAACTGAAACTTTCTTATGAAACAAGAGCAACGAAGCTGAACGAAGTATTAGACTTAGAAATGAGTAAAAAATGAACAGCTAAACTTTTTGACTCTGTGCCGATGAAACAGACGCTCGATATGGTCACATACAAACCTGGGATAGGAACTTAAGTCCCACATTAATGAATCGGAATTGAATGACATTTGATCGGCATTGCTTTTCAACGAATCGCAAGCCATGTCAAGCTATACCAACTCGTTATTCTTGTATTTGTAGGCTTTCCAACTACGGAGAAATAGCTTCTCTTTGGAAGCCTTACGTATACTTTGAGCAACCACATTTCAAAGATGCCATTTTCGTACCATGTTACATTTCTATGTGTCTCGCAATCACTGAACAAAATTGCAATCATGCTGGGCTTTTGAGGACGTTAAATTCATGAGATATCAGCAGCAAATACGACTTAAGAGTTCTTATCGAGCTGTAACAACAAAAAACAACAAGCCAACACTTCCCACGCAAATCAAATAATTACATAAAAGCAGAAATTAGGATTGTAAAAGTAAGTGACCACCGCAACGCAACTGAAACAGTTTTCATTCCGTATGGAACCCGCCATCTCACCTTTAAATGCGACCCTGTCAGCATGGAATTGGAGCGCGCCAGCCGATGTCGTGAGAATCGTGGTTTTTCCCCATTTTTTTAATCTAACTCTCGTAGACAGCGAGTTTTGAGTATGCAGATATGCCAAAAAGGTAGCTCCTCCAACCGAAAAACAGGTGTCAGTGCGACAAATAAGGTGAGGAATGAGAGGGTAAGGACTCAGTGAGGAAAAACTCGAAGAACACCTCAAAGGAACAACGGGGTGGGACTTGGTTCAAAAGTTGGTTTGGACGAGCGAGTAAGATTGGTGTTAAGCCACGCCCCTAATTTCTGATATCTCATATCTAAGAACATCTCCCAGTTCAAGAAACACTCTCACTTGCTATGGACATGGGAGGTCACCTGGTAGACGGTGCTATAACAAAATAGATCGAACCATCTTCATTCGGAAGTTTTGTCTGAGGGAACTGAGGGCGTCTGTAATCACCAGCGCTGGATTCTGTTTTCCAGAGCATGGAACGTGAACACAAAGCTGAAGAAACGAAGCCTCAAGATTTTCACCAAATGGGATCACTTCTCTTCTATTGAAAACTCAAATAAAACTGCGAGAACGATAATGAAAGTGTTTCATCACCCTCTAGCTATGAGTCCATCCTTCGTTCCTTCTGAGGATGTACATTGGATTTGTGAGGAACGACAGCACTACGACTCAAAGTGCAACACTAGCACTCGCAGTAACACTTCAAACTGCTTATGACCCTATACGCCTTAGCAATAAGCAACAAAAACACCTTCTGTGACGTATTTTGCTGACTCGCTTAGCATGAGTAAAATTCTTTTCCTCTAGCGGCAAAGCCGAGACATAAAAGTTAAGCACAAACCATGCGGAGTAGTACTTCAACCGATGAAGCACTCTGAGGTGCTCAGGCATCGAGAAAAGTCATTAAATTGAGGGTTCAATAGTACCTTGGTTGGGCAGCCTTTACTACAGCCTCCCTTCAAATTCAGCTCCCCGTTGCCCTCATATACTTGCATTACTTAACTACCTTACTTGCAGCCGTGTACTGCACATCCCCACCACTAGAGGTAGCGTCTGATTTGGGTCTCGCAGAAACTATCAAGGAGGAGGATGGTCCATATCGTACAAAACTGATTTAAAGACTTCATTTTGAGCCGTACACCCTCTCCTTACATTGACTTTTTTGAAGAAATTCCTGAACTAACACCTTATAGCAGATTTCACTTAGTGAGATGTGATTGTGATATCACCAGACTTTTCAAAGTACTGAGAAATCAGCTGATAATCGTGTTTTCTTCCCTACGAAGCTTGTTTACCAACAAATTCAAGTTTTCTACATCTATAAACTTCTATAATTGATGTTTCACGCACATTTCTTCAGTCATCTTCCGCTCATCCACCAGATATATCCTTTCAGATCCAGCAAAGCCCAGTGAAGTATAAAACGTATGGTTACTGCTCTGCTAACAGATTATAAAGATACACATCACATGTAAACCCTAACTCGAAACGAAAAAAAAGAAAAAAAACTATAAGGTTAATAAATAAATATAAAATTCATTAAAATAAGTAAAAAAAAAACAATAAAGTAAAAGTAGAGGCTTAGGTGGGCATTGAGGTATCATAAGGTATTGACCGCGAAGAAGCGATTTTGAAAAATTGAAAAAAGAAAACAGCGAGGAAACTTTCTTTATGACAAATCCCAATTCAAAGAACAACCTTGAACAAGTAAGTGAAAACTGAGCAGTAACAAAGACAATGGGTGTACATAATCGTTCACATATATAGCATATACAATAGATACTTTTCGACCGAGTTTTGTTAAGGAGCTCCTTTTCCACCACCGAGGGCTTTAGTTAAGTGAAATTAACTATATGGTAACTATTATAAGTAATAAACATCTTTGCGAGTAATTACATATACACCAGCGATAAAAGAGATCGTTTTGAGGCAATTGTAACAGATTTTAGGGCACTTTCACAGACAGCAGTTGAATATTACCAGTCAGGTGACAAAACGACACGATCGAAGGAGGTTTGACTGAGCGATGACGGAAAGGGGCCAGAATACTATGAATGAGACGCGGT